ATACCATCTGTTTCCAAAGCCTGTGCTCTTTGTACCACATTTAGGCTGCATCCCCCTTTAATATCAATAAAAATTGTATCATATCACATAGACATATTTGTAATTATTTTCTATCTACCTTGTTAAGTATGGCAATCATAAACATGTCCAATCTTTTCTACATTCTAAGAAAAATATAAAGGTATTCAGCATAAAAACAATAATGAAAATAAATTTTAAAAGCAGTATTAAGTGAAGACTCACCATACTTCTAATGAAATATAGTTGGATATACTATAAACTATAATATACTAAATGAAAGCAATGACTAATCTTCTTCAATAAGATACAGAAAAAAGTTGGCTTGGCTTTTACATCACTTGATTATATTAACATTTGTCCCATAAGACAATATCATTAAAAAGTGACACCTAGCTCATAAAAGAAATACCTTACTATTCACAGGAGAAGCATTTATATAAGATGAACCCATCAGATGTTAAGTTATAAAGAAAAATTCAACCACAGAAGCAAAATGCCCAACCTGCTAACAGTGAGGACCACACAGTGGCAGGTGACCTATTTCTTCAGTGTGTTTCTCAACAGACATTTTCCTCAACCACAGGGTAGTATGCTACTTCTCCACTAGAATGTTAATCTAAGTTTTACCAGGATGAAAATATCAAGTATGCCAAAGCAAGTAAGTTTCCCAAAACAACATTTTCATCTGGCTTCAAAAAAGTCAGAAGATGCTCTACTAAGTTGGCCATCAAACTATGTAGCAGGTAACTACTTAACTAGTAGCTCTCAAAGTGTAGTCCAGGAGACCCCTGAGGGTCCCCAAGACCTTTTCGGAGGGTCCAGGAGGTCAAAAATATTTTCAGAATGTTACTAAGTCATTATTTGCCTTCTATACTACCACTCTCTCACAACTGTGTGGTGGAGTTTTCCAGAGGTTATGTATGACCTGTGATTCAACAGACTGAATGCAAGAGCAGACATGGCAATTTATGTCTTCTATTAAGCCAGATATTAGTTACTTGCAAAAACTTAAAATGATGTCATTATTCTCACTTTTTTTTAGAAAATATAGCTATTTTCTTCTTTGAAAAAGTTATGTTAACATGTAATGTTTTATTTCTAAGTGAGTTAAATATTTTTTAATTTCTCAGTTTTATTCTAATATAGTTAATATCAATAAATATAGCCCACTCAAACAGAAATTCATTGGGATACTCAATAGTTTTTATAAGTATAAAAGGGGTACTGAGACCAAAAAAAAAAATGAGAGCCACTTTTCTAGACCTTCCTATACGTATGTTTTGCCAATTACATTTTCAATTTTTCTAATTACCATTGAAGAGATGTTACTGTCCTACAGATAATTTCAGAAATTTGCCTTGATAAGAACAAAAAAAGTCTACAACCTTAAAAAGAATTGAGTCCATTAGATTAAAAAAGAAATCATTTCTTATATCTTTCCAAAAGAAAAACAATAACAATGTCAAAACTAAAATGCAAGCTAAGAGACCACTATCTGTAAGCTTTGGGCATGAGTTTATGATCAGTTGTACATTAATAATCCTCCAACAGCTCCTATACCAAGGCAGGGCTCTTTGAGAGGCTTATCCAGCAACTGTTCTGTTATGGAATAATCCTGATTTCCAAATCACAACAGGACTAATCAAGATGCTTATAAACAATTCTCTGTACCATAATCTTGACATTTCCAAAATAAAAAGTTTTGTGTTTCACCTAAACAGTTTCAAAATCTCTGGGAAATACATAAAGTTAAGACATCAAAGTCCCATCTGAATCTAATCCTTACATTGTCAGTAAGTCACAATAGATGTAGCAATCCATGCAGTTTTTAGAAACCTTCAGGATGCATGGTAATGGTAGTTTTTGAAAATACACGCTGGAGGAAAACCTCTTTGAAAAATAGTTTTTGAACCTGCTGGAAACAATAATAGACAACAACTTTGCATTTACAGTTCAATCTAAAATTAAGATGAAGTCATATTTTTAAAACTGTCACATTAATATTACAGTTAAGGACCCTAAGACAACAACTGTCTAATACAAAAGTTATTCAGTCCTAGGCTATCGCAATAGTCAAGGAGTGAGGTGACCAAGGATCGTGAGTAGAAAAGCACTTAAAGGCTAGAAAGAAACAATGCTCCTTAGGTATTTATTAATTCAACAAATATTTATTAAATTGTCTACTACTTGTAAGACCCTAAGCAAGCTAAGAAGCTCATAATCTGGTGGGAAGATAATTACAAAGGTGGAAGTATACGTATATAAATGCAGAGGCTACTCCAGACATAATGGAAGAAGTTCTATCTAAGAAGTGCTAGAAGAGGAAGAGAAAAGGAAGGAAGGATGTCTTCTAACAGAAAGGATCAGGGAACATACATCCTGGCAAAGAAGGCATCTAACCAGGGCCATTAACATATATATAAAATTTCAATCCAAAGTGAAAGGCATCGCAGGAAGAGGAAAAAGCACACAGTCAAGGAACAGCAAGTACAAAACAGCTTCCAAGGAACTTGTAATGGACTCCAGGAGGAAGAAAGACTGGAAAATAAGGTTGGAAAAATAGAGGGACTTACATGACAGGGTAAGCTTTTTTCAGTAGGCAAAGGGAAGCCATTGGAAAGTTTTTAAAGTCATGATAAGGTAAATCATCAGATGATACTTTAATAATACTGTGGGTTGGACAGAAGAGAAACAGGGGAGAACAGTTAGTGCACTATCAAACCAATCCAGGCAGGAAATAATAAGAGCTTGAAGGGATAGGAACTAGGAAAAACAGATACAAGATATCCTGCAACCGCTTCACTAATAAATTACTTAGTTTAAAATGTTTCAAAACTTATCACACAAGGTTGTTGTTTCACATTATTTACATTAAAAACTATTCACTTCATAGACAATTTCACAGCATACTCAAGTGTGCTTCCTTTTTAAAAAGCTGTTAGGAATAGCTAACTGTATTCTAAATTAAGCCACAAAATGGATAATAAAGAACAGCACAGGCATACTTTCAATATTCTGAATAGAATCTCAGTATGCAAAATTTCATTCAAGGATGAACATTTTAAGCTCAAAAGTTTATTTCCATGGAACACACAAAGTTTTGATCAGAATTTTCTGTACAACCTTTTAAGACCCACATCACTACATAATTATAATAGTCGACTTTTCTTAAAATCATTTTTGGACAACTCAACTCAACTCAACTCAACCAGTATTTCTACTAGGCCCATATTTTTCAAACATTAGTGCCTTCATTTTCTCCCCTCCTCCCCACTCACCTCACCGCCCAACAAATTCCCTTTGTATGTCTGCAAGGCAAGATACTATATGATACAGTATGATTCTAAGGCAGTTTGCATATAAATAATTCTATTCATGTAATAACAGAAATCTAGAATTATTAACCTTACTTTTTACAGGAGAGGAACCAATGATGTACTAAATTTCCATTTACATGAATGACAAATGCATCTAATAGAAATGATGCTTTACCATTAGGGGGAAACAAAGGGGGAAATACACACAATAGATGGGTGGCAAATCTTAACAAACTTTGCGAAATACAGAAAAGCTGCATCTGGATTGCACGATTATAAAAGCAAATAAAGCAAGCTCCAAAATTAAGGGAAAAGAAAAAATTCCAAGTGATCATTAAAAGTGAAAAAGGTTGATTCAATATTAGTATTAGTTTTTAATACAGCATCATTTAACACTCTATGATTAATTGGAAAAAAAAACAAAGGATAATTCACCGCTCACAAGGACACAGGAAATAATTTCTGCATATATTCTATGAGACAGTTATAGTTCATTACACTTCCATGGGCTCAAATCCTTTCAAACGTTTCCAAAAATACATAGTCTTATGATAACTGAGATTCCCCAATGACACACAATTTATTCTGTACGCTTAGCTATAACACATTTTTAAAAGACATAACGAATTCATCCTCAACAAAAATAAGAAGTCACAAAGGCCCTCTACTTATTCAAAATCATTACATAAATCACTGTCTATAATTGCAAAAAGGGTTTGAAAATCTGACAGCTAATAATCATAAAATGGTGTAGACTTAAAGAAAAAAAATTACCCAACTTTTCCATTTTCCCTTCCTTTTCCTTTCCTATCAGATATACAAAATGTCTGTAAGGGTCTCAGACAAAGCTCTAAAGTAGAAATACAGTGTATGTATACTTTACATTATGTGTATGAAAACCTATCACATATATGTATACATTACATATATTCACACACAAAAAAGAAAGGTTCCTCCTTTTTTACTATAAGAATTGAAGCTACATTAAACCCTATCCCATAAATTGAGTTAAATCACTATAAATTAAAGAGTAATAAAATAGTGCACATAGATCTCTCTTAACGACTTTATTCGGAGAAAAATCAAAGACTAAGGCCATGACTGAATAAAAACACCCAATCCCTGAAAATCACTAACCGGCATTTGGTTTCCGTGAGAGAAAAAGGGAGTCTTAAAACGAATAATCACACAGGCAACCCAGTTTCAGAAGTTAACGAAGGTAAAACACAGCGAACCAAACCAGACAAACGTATAAAACGACAAGCTTTAAAGAATTCCCCCCAAAAGAAAGACTTCAAGACTGGGATAAAAAGCATCCTTTGCAGGTAGAAAAATCTTTAATTGAAAAAGAAAAGGGGGGGGTGCATGGCACAACAAAAACCTGAACGACAAGCAAAGGCGAAGAAGTAAAAAAAAAAACGGATCTCTCCTCCCACCCCCACCGCAGCTCCCACCCCCACCCTCACAGGACAATAGGATCGGGGTCCTAACTGCAAACTTTAAACGTGTAAACCAGAAGCAGTTTTACTGCAGCTCTAACTGCAAATCTGCCTCTCATCTCGAACCTAGCGCATCCAAGAATACTTCTGCCCTGAAAACATCACCAAGGTGTTATTAAACACAAATCAGACCCATCACAAGATTCTTTTTTTCCCCAAGTACCTGGAGGATCCATTTCAATATAAAATATCAGTTCTGTCGAATAGGGCATCATCACCTCCCGCCAGTCTGCGTCATCGCGGTCCATACTCCACACCGTATTGTACATCGCGCTGTCAGGGGCAGGTCGTCAGGAAATATATAGAAAGCATATATATTTTTTATCTGCTATTTAAAAATCTAAAAATATATATCTGTAAAAGTCCCACTCAGAAATGTACTCCGGGGTTTCCAACGGCCGGTACAAGTCCAGCCAACTAGCAGGACGAGGACGGAGTCGTCCACCCCGTTCCTCCTACGGCACCCAGCAAAATGCCCCCGGGACGTTCAATCTACCGGCTTTTCCCCTCGGAGAGGTACAGAGAGGCTTGCGGCGCGGAGAGCAGAGGTGTTATAAAAGCGGCTTCCCCAAAATCCCTTCGACACAGCCGCTCTCCAGAGAAAAACTCCCACCGCCTCCAAATCTTTCCGCGGAAGCCACTTTTGTGTCCTTCGACGGGGGGAGAATGGAGAGGGAGAAAAAAAGAATGCGCTGGGAGAAAGGTGGGGAAGTGACAAAGGAAAGCATAAAAAAGGGGTTGGGTATTGCGTTCAAGTTTCGGGGTCCCACTGGTCAGCAGAGAGCGATCCCCTCAGGGGCTGGGACTCGGGCTCCGTTCCGGTCGGGCTCGGAACCGAAGCTGCTGCAGCCTCGGGATGGAGGGCCCGTCTGAGAGTCCAGTTAGCTCTGCTTGGCCGGGCGCTCCTGACAGGCTGTATGCAAGCCCGCCAGTGCCGGCTCCCCTCACGCTCTGCCCTGACTCCAGCCACTAGAGTTTCATTTTAACGGCGCGGAGGGGGACACCCTTCCCCGCCCCCACGTTCCCCTGCTGAGGCGCCACCCAACCGCGCCGGGCAGGGGGGACAGTCATCATCTCCACTGCCCCTTCCGCTCTATCCCGCCTCGAAGTGTTGGGACTTCTGTCAGGTGCCTGAGAGTTTGTGCAAAAAGCCGTCCTACACCTCGGCTATCAACTCTCCTCACCGCTCTCTAGTCCTCAGTTTCCTAACCCTCCATCCTTTCTCCCCCCAGCCTCAATCAGAATGGTAAAGCCCGGGCGCTGGCCGCTCGCCAGGAGTCAGTGCCGGGAGCACGCGAGTGGGGCGGGGAGGGAGAAGCGAGGTGGGAGGAGGGGGAAAAAAAAAAAAAAAGAGGATGAGGTGGCTGGTGATTGGCTGAGCCCGGTTGCCGGAGCCTGGAGCCTGCGTCTTTTGTCTGCCTTGCTCCGGCGGATGAGCGGGAGACGGCTGCGCGCCCCAAGCGAGCCAATCAGGAGCCAGCCGGCGCCGGCCGGTGAGGCAGCGATTGGTCGGAGCCCAGTTACTAAGCGGGACAAAGGCAGAAGGGGTAAAGAAAAGAGGGAAAAAAAAAAAAAAAAAGAAAGAAAGAAAGCGCAAACGGCGGTTACTGACAGGCTGGGCGAGCGCTCGGGGGCTCAAGCTGCCCGGAGACAGGCGGGGCTCCCACTGAAGCTCGGTCCGCCCGGTCGTGTAGGAGATGGGGAGGACGGGCTGGCGCGAGACACCTCTGCCCGGAGACTGGCCGCGGGGGAGGGGAGGGAGGAAGAGGGGCGCGTGCTGTCACTTGGCGGGACGCGCGCTCTATTCTGGTCCATAGGAGGTTTCCGGGCAGAGTCCTTCCCCACAGACCTCTTCCCAGTGCTGGGACAACCCTCCCCACCCTCCTCCCCCATGATAAGTTGTCAAATAAAGCAAAGGTCCCCAGACTTGCTGGACCGTTACTGCTCAGTGAGAGAATGTGCCCATGCCCCTGTGCAACCTTACCCGACCGCTACCTGAGCCCAGTTGCGGCTTCTCCCCTTGAGCAGTGAGGCACTTCTTAAGGAGGCATTTCGCAGTTCCTCTGCGCTTCCCACCCCAGGACTTCTGAAACCAGAGGAACTCCCCACACCTGAAATACACAGTGGCGCGCCACAGCAGGCCCCTCAGCTCCAGTGCTCAAGCCAGAAAAAAATGCCTTGCAACTACAGTGTGCGTGTGATTTCTGAGATGAATCACAGGTGTTGGTTTCCCTCGCCAAAAGAGCTCTACTCCGTTTCCCTGACAGACCCCCTTACACGTTAACACCCAGTCCCTCCCCCGCCCCAGCTTAAAACTACGATAGACTCCCATATGAAAATGCTGGATATTTCCACGCATTTCAGAAACTGATAATTAACTTGCTGGGGGACACTGAATAGCCCAAAGCAGATTTCTGTCTCATGAAGTTTGTGCCTGGAATTGCCATTCTGCATGCCCTACAATACAGTCTGGGGAAGCCAAAAACTGCTCCATTTCCTCTTTACACAGGAGTAACAAAGCCCATTGTGTTTTGCTTGACAACCTTGATTAAGCCCTAGCAAAACCTCCTACCCTGAGTGGCTCTGCTGTATTGACCTGCCAGTGGAAGAGTTGCCACGTTTCACCCTCCACCTCCCAAAGTGGTTCTGCCTTCCTTAAAGGTGCTCTAACTGAGCTGAGAGTTCCTGAGGGCAGACAGTCAAAATGTGTACGAACTAGATATAAAGTCATGGATTAAAAAGAGCCAGGAAGAGTGAATGGACTGCGTTGAGCTGAGAAAATACATCAGTATTCCTATATGCTTGCTTTCTCACATTTTTGAAATCCAAGTGTGATTCAGAAGCCAAATCAACTTGGGGCAGGGCACATTAATTTGAATGTCCTGAACCATCCCTCTAGGTCGAAGATGCTGGATGAACAACTCTAATTTGTGGCTGGCTTCCCAGCAGTCTCTTTACTTTACCATATCTGGGAGGCAGAAGTACTCACATTTGATAACTCAAAAAGCAGAACAGTCAAGGGCAAGTAGGTTTATTTTTGTTCACTGGAGTCCCAGTGCATTCCCAAATAAAATGAAGGTGAAGAGAGGAAGTGTGGAAAAGATAATGGCTTTCAGATTTCCACAGCAGCTTTTGCTTGGACCACTTTTCATGATTTGGTGGTGGGAATTCAATTTCCAATACACGGAGCAATCACTCAGGCCTTTCCCACCGCTAAGGCCTTAGGAAATGTAGTGAAGAAGCAGCTCAGTATATAAAGAGTGCTTGAGACTGACACATGGAGTAAAGCTGTGTGATTCAACCTTGCCACCTAAAATCGTATGACCCAACTGTCCAGCAAATAAACCTTTGAATAGAAAGCCTCCAAAGAATAACAGTGATGCAAGAGGCAACGATGAATCAAGGAGAAGCACACTTCCTTCAGATGGGCTTGAACCAGTGCCCTGCCATGATGAGAAGCGCCTGTCATATGATGTTGGCCTCACTTTCTTTCAGTTGAGAAACAGAAGTGAGGTTCTGACTGCCTGTCACCAAACTGCCTCAGGCTCTTTGGCAAAGGTAGAGAATGTTAGCTCTGGTGCCCTGGATCATTTCCATCCTGGAGAATTATATTTGGCCTGGGCGTGGATTAAATTCAGCTCTAAGAGCTCAAACTCCTGGGTCACAACCTGCTTCTCTGGGAGTTGTTTTTTTTACCCCTTTGCCTCCCTCCTTTCTTTTTTTAATTTAAATTAGCCTTAGGTAAATCACAAAATCCGTCTTCATTTATATATCTGTGAAATAGGAGATTGCCTTCATATTTATGAAAGCTTCTTAGTTTATTGTGAAAGACTCTGAGAATAAAAAAAAAACACTTAAGTACTTAGAATTAATAGTACTTTTTTGTAACTCCAAATGGACAGGATGTCCTTCACTTTTCACCCTAGTTTGGTCTCGCTATGAAACAGTTCAAATATGCTCCATTTCCCCCTCTTTATTTTAGAGATGGATGAAATATTTCTTCTGTGCACTGAATATAGGGTATGATCTCAGAGCTCTCTGTGCCAGCAGAATCAGCCTGGAACTCAGCCAGAAGTTCTTCGTGATTAAAGGTGCCATCTGAGCACACAATATTTTTTTTCAAATGCCTTGCAAAATGGAAACATACTTTTATTATTTTTTTAAGGTCACTAGCTATAACATCAGGACTGGCTTTAGCCTTTGGGGAAGGATCAGTGAACTCAATACCCTTCTTTTTTCCTCTCTCATTATCTGCTCTTGATCACTTGTCTTGTGATAAGGCTAAGTCCATGCAGCTAAATAAACTCACTTAATAAATGGGATTCCATGAAAACTCTACAAATTATCAATTGCAGAGTTTAGGACTTCCCCAGCCACATGCCTTATAAGTTGGGGGATTTATCAAGTTTTGATGGAAAAGTTTGCCTTTACAATGTAAAAAGAAGCAGTGCTAGTGGATCTTCTAGAAAGACAACTCCTCTGGGAATTGATAGTCATCTTTTGAGAGCAGTGTCAAACATCTTGGTTTTCCTTTTTTTTCTAAAATAATATTCCCTTTATTTATCATCTGCAATTTTTATCTCTCCTCTACATCTTTCTTAAAACTTGGAAAACTATGGTAGAGTTAATTATATCAGCCCAAGTCACTGAGAAATTACGACATTAGATGAATGAGCGGTTTTCACAGAAGTGGCATTTCTCCAGATGCTGTTGCATTCCTGTGCTTAGGGGGCACTGTTTGAGGGCTTCCTCTTACGCATTAGCACATGATATAAATCTCCCCACTTGGGGTCCTCCTTCAGCTTTGGGGATCACCAAAAAAGCAGGTCTCTCTCTAGCTTAACATGATCCCCTCTTTTTCATGTCTGCCTTTCTAGTAACACAGGGGCTACCTGGTCGGTAGGTTATGACACTGCCACAAACTTCCCTTCCATCAAGGCAACAGCTTTCAGCTCAGCTCTCACCAGGACAGAGAGAGCAAATGAGAGCTGAATGGCAGGAACAATAGTTGAGGCTGTTTCCCGAGGGCAGGGCACAAACTGGGCAGGCAGCCGGTGAGCTCTGTTACCTCATTTAATCTCTATAACCCTGAGGAGGGTTGTATTTTTATTCTCATTTTACACATGAGGAAATTGAGACCCAGAGCAGTGAGGAGACTTATTCAAAGTCACGCAGCCACTTAGTAGCAGAGCCAGGACTAGAGCCCCGGGTCCCAACAGCCGGTTCAGTACCTTTCCCACTACACCACACAGCTTTCCTCTCCCCTTCATCCACTTAGTGAGTGTTTATTGATGCTTCCAAATACTGGGGATACAAAAATGAATAAGACAAAGTACCTAACATTGAGTCCAGAGTCTATAGAGGAGAGGTCAACAAAAGAATAAATAATTACAAGCATGTGATAAGTGCTATAATAGAGAAACTGACAAAGTACTACCTGAGCCCCAAAGACAGGATGATCTCTGCCCAATGCAGCTGAATAAAGGCTTCCTGGAGGAGGTGATATTTGGGCTGCCCCAAATTTCTCTGCATGTGGTCTCTACATCTCAGTTTCTCCAATCCATATGATTAGCTCCAAGCCTGAAAAAGTTTCATGGAAAGCTGCCACAAAGATCAGACCACCAAAGCATCCCTCATTATCTTTAATCAGACTGCAACAGCCTCCTCATCATCTCCCTGCCTTGCCTCTTCCAATCCATGTTCTACAGAGTTAGAGTGATGGTTCTAAATACGCAATCTGAACATTGTCACTCCCTTGTATAAACCACACAGTATTTCCATTTGCCCTCAGGGTAGGGTTTCAGTCTCTTAGCCTGGCATTCAAGGCTTTGGTGATTTAACCCCTGCCTCCTTTTCCAGTCTTTTCTCACACAGTATTTCCTGTCTCTGCTGAGAACTAGCTATACTGAAAGACTGCAGTTCTCAGAACAGTAGAAAATTTCTCCACACAACACCTTCCACTATAAA